ATTTTAAAAATTTCGTTGTATAAAATTTTGAATTTAGATAGTTGTCCCCCTAAAGTATACCCTCCCTAAATTTAAATTCCTAAAAACAGACAAAATAACTTAACTAAATATAAATTTTTTAATCAAACTTTGCCCCCCCTAAAGTATTCCACCACACTTCGTCGGGCGTGAATTACGGTGCGATGGTGGCCGACCTCGTGGATGAGCACGACAGGTGGAAATGGGACTGCCTTCATGGACTACTTCCCTCCACCGTTATACTTCGGCTGGCCGGAACTCTTTCGGAGGATGGGGATGACCGTATCATGTGGGGATTCTCAGAGGACGGTATGTTCTCAACGTCGTCAGCGTATCGCTCCTTAGCTCCTCTGACGGCAGATTCTGACAAGTTGCTTTGGCGTTTAACTTGGCGATCTCCTACTCCGCAACGTACCCGCCAATTCTTGTGGCTCGCGGCTAGCGGTCGTCTTCTTACTAATGTGGAGCGCGTTCATTGGCACCTTGCGGCTGAGGAGAGCTGCGATTTCTGAGGTGCGAGCGAGTTGATTCTACGCGTCCTGTGAGATTGTGCATATATAAAGACCGTGTGGCTTCGGCTGCTCCTAGGTGAGGATAAAGTCACTTTCTTCCAACAGCCCCTATTGAGCTGGCTGCGTAAGACCCTAGCGACTTGTCGGTTGGGCGAGGTTCGAAACTGGAAAAGTACCTTCTCGATTACAACTTGGCGGGCATGGAAGTGGCGTAACGAGAGAATTTTTAATCACAACACACTTAACAGTGAGGCTCGGCGGGTGGACATCGTGAATTTGGTTGATAGTTATGCCCGTGCCGAAGCTGCGTACGTGAAGGTGGGGGCAGCGCTGTATGTCACACGTATGATTTATTGGTCCCCGCCAGAACCAGGATGGATTAAATTAAACATTGATGGCACATGCGATAATCTCACGGGCTTGAGTAGTGCATGTGGATTGCTTCGTGATGACTCAGGTGGTTGGATCGAGGGGTTTCTTATGAATATTGGGGCATGTTCGCCGAACTGTGGGGTCTCTTTCACGGCTTCAGTTGGCTTGGGACAAGGGTTGTCGCCAAGTTATTGCCGAGATCGATAATCAGTGCGTGTCGCAGATAGTGCTTAGTTCAGATGGTACGTTTGGTGCTCATGACACCTTGATTAAGGTCGTTCGGAGGTTGATCCAGCATGAGTGGAACATTAAGGTAGTGCATGTTCATAGGGAAGCCAACTTTGCAGCGGACCACTTAGTGAGCATGGCGGCTTCTTGTCCGATTGAGTTGCAAAGGATGTCCTCACCTCCTCTTGTGCTTAGCACATGGCTTGACCATGACATTATTGGAGTATCGTTGCCCCTTGAATTTTAGCCTAAACCAGGCCTTTGGGAGGGCCTCTTTCTTTGTACCGAAAAAAAAAGAATAATATCAATCAATCATTATACACACTACATCAACCTTAATTCACTATTCATTCACTCACATTATTTTAACTAATCATCTCATCAAACCATCTCTCTCATATTTTTATATCAAATTATTTTAATTATTTTATTTTAAATATTATTTTAATATATCCACTAATAACCAATCATACCACATTTTTCAAAATTAACGAAAACAAAGTAAAAAATCCAAACAAAACAACAAATTTATATAAACAAACATAGCTCTAGACATGGCCACGGGCGGCCCGGCCCGTGGCCCGACCCGTGACC